GGTTTTATCACCGCCGAAGACAACCGTATCATTGCGGTAGCTTCCAGGCCTGCGGGAGGTCTAAAAATCTCTTAACTACGTGGATTAAGGACACCAAGCTAAGCAAAGCTGCACAAAAAAATTACTAGAAAACGACCTGTGTGGAGTTGGTCTATTGACCGAAAAGAAAGCTGTGGTGATAGCCCATAAGTGCGTGAGCAAGACAAGGAAGGAATCATTCAAATTACTGGCAGGATCTGGTTGGGCATGATTCGTTCGTTCTGGCACGAGAATTCCGGAGATTTTATCTTCCTAGAAGGGGCTACTCAATTTGACTGGGTCCAAGGTGGAAGTGGGCAGGGGTAGGATACTTCTTGCGCTGCCAAAAGGCATTATCCTACCTCTGCCTATGGAACATATTTGAGAACTGAAGGGTGCATGTCCAGCAGCAGTTTTTCGATCGTATTTATATAGAATTTTTTCATTTACATATAGCAAAGCTTCCCACACTCATGAGAGGCATAATGCTTTTCTTTCCCATTTCTTTCGCCATGATGAAGCCTTTTTTGTATTCATATGGAAATAGTCAGCTGCTAACAGCTTTCCACGTTCTAAATGGCCTTCTTTAATAGATTTCTGTGCACCAATTTTTTATAAATGCCCATTTTTGTTATAAAAAGAGATGGCAAAAGCTACCGTAACGCTGTATTTCGTGGCGACACCCACATGAATCCAGAAAGTAATCTCTGTTCCAATGAAAGCATTCATATTCACGGAGGGAACCGGCATGGTGATAACGCATAATCACAATCCTTGAGTGAGAATTTTCAATTTAATGTCCGCCTGGCAAAATGGCCATTTGATCGTATTCAGTGGGAAATATCCTAACCCTCAGTCACGACGTGAAACGCTTAAAGTTGTTTTGTTCAGAAAAAGCCTCTCAGATGCTTCTTCCCTCGGGAAAAGGTACGTAGAAGTTACATCAAGCTTCGCGAGAGTTTTACAAAAATGTTAACTTGGCTTCGTATTCGGATTGGCTGAGAGCTCTTGCTTTCCTTTTCTGCTACCGGCAACCTCACCTGGAATTCAAACCATTTCATGTTTTTCTTGCATGTCTCTTCTACTTCACCTTGTTCTGATAAAGGATAAAGGGTGAAGTATTTGGGCGTTAATCAATCCCATCTGAGGTAGGGATACGCCCCCGCATTCGACTTCCATTCAGAATTCTTGTGGCGGATTGAATGTCTGTGGCCTATAAAATGACTTACGGTGGCCAGTCGATGTGCGAGTGAGCGTCTTATTCCCCAGACGAGTCTGGTACCATTTTATCGGCCCCGGAGGAATGGAAGGCTTGGTTGGCCGGGGCAGATATCGATTCAGGACTCGAACTCGAGCGACCAGTATGTGGGATAGTGCGCCTCTTGCCACTACACCATCGCTCGTGGATGCAGAATTTCACCGACAAACCTTACACGGCATAATCCTTTTCGAATGATACAAGCCTTGATTCGTCAGGTATACAGCACGTCGAGAAGGGATCTTACCATTAGGCAAGAGTGCGGACGGCTGCGGGTGCAATCAGGGTTATGCATTGCATCACAACCACTCGGAATCAGGGCCAACAGTCGGATTACTGTAGGAAGCAGATTCCAAACTTCGTTTCTGTTGCACCTATAGTAGGTCAACAAAGTCAGGAAGTACTCTGAGACTACACCACAACCTAAGGACCGGCACGAGTCGATGCAACTAGTGGGCGATAGGATATGATCCCTCCCCTGAAAGACCCTCGCATAGCTTCCAGCCCAAACTCGAGCTCACAATTGACCTGCATGTGAATTATGCTCTACAAGCTACGTAGTTACCGAACCAATCTATACTTAAATGTCATTGTGGCTCTGAATACGACTTTTAGACATGGTGGCTGTTCTAGTAGAAAAGGATGCAGAAGTTCAATGTTTGTATCTATTCATGTTTAAGCTCTTCACTCTCCACAACATTCTATTTAACCCATTGACGACAATGGCGTTCTGCGGGAAAAGCGCCGCGAGGGACCGGCGCGCTTTTGGTCCACTCGCGACTGCAGCCCATATGTGGACTTCATGGTCTAGCATGACTATTTTTTAAAGTTTATGAGAGAAGTTTATAAGTTTTTCGGAATGTTCCCTCAAATGGGTTTGGTAAGAAGGCCCACGATAAGTGATTACTGTTTTTTATAGTGGAACTGGTACTCGTTCGAGTGTTCATTCAATTATGAGTTAAATCATTACCAGAAATCGATTCGGGGGAACTTTTACGAGCTTTGCTTTTGGTCGATAACAGCGAAAATGCTAATGACAACCGTCTTTTCGAAAATCTCATTTTCTGAAGTTGTTCAACGAACGAAAAATTCACCAAGGTAATGNCAGTCCACATGTGCACTGCACGGTCCCACATGGCCGAAAAAGTGCAGTCCACATGTGGACTGCATGGTCGTCAATGGGTTAAATAAAGAAAGGTTATCATGGGGCCTTACCAAACAGCAAAGATTGCGTGCCCTAATCGAGGTGCACATCAGTTAAAGGGCGCTCTGTGAACGAGGTCCTAGCGTGAGGCTACAGTAGTTGGCCGACATGAAACGATTTTCCGCTGGCTGGCCTAAGGTTGCTATTTTACTTTCAAAACAGCTTTTACCGTGTTTTGGTACTGTTTTTTATCGTTTGATTGAAATCTTTGTCTCAAACTTCATGTTAGGGCAACTGAACTCCCAGTTGGTGGTCCTTACTTCGTTCTTTTTGCATGTTTGCAATGATTTTGGGTGAAAATGAATAGCACTTGCAAGATGCTTCGTTTCTAGTACAAGTTGAAGTTAATAATCTTTGTGGGTGTTCACTTATCCACATTCAGGTAATAACATCAAGATGCCCAAGCAAATTACTGAGATCAAGGATTTCTTGGTGTTGGCACGAAGGAAGGATGCCAAAATCGTGAAGATTAAAAAGAACAGCCTCAACGTGAAATTCAAAGTCCGATGCAGCAGATATTTGTTCACCTTGGTCGTAAACGTGAGTGACTAATTTTTCTCTATTGGAATTCTTTATTTTACGTTAACATCTCTTAAAAAATTCCAAGTTTTCATATGATATTTTCCGTTTCGAGAAAGCAGTGAATTGTGGAATGCTTTGCAACCTATTACTTATTTGTTTGTTGTGCTCCTTTGTTTCTTCTCAACCGTTACGTCTCTAATTTAGAGGGCATGTCCAGTGACTAGCTGGCCAATATGGTTGAAAGGTCTTCTCCCGTGATCGGGTTTTTTTTATATGGATTTGCTGCGTACCATAGCAATTTAGTAGTTTTTTTTTTGCAACTGGTTAGCTTAAAGTGGTGCATAGGAAAATCCTTTTCTTCGACGTTTTTTCCCCTCGCTCTAGCAATCTGGAAAGAAGGGGTTCCAGAAAGTTTTCGAGCAGTTTTGTTGCATGCTTTTTATGATCGCTTAATCACATGTGAAGGCATTCTCATAAACTTGTGAGCGGGTTCTCCTGCGGGCTTCGTCGTCTGCTCATTCCCTACTGTACTGTATCTAATGAAGTAGTTTTACTAGCTGATTGATGTTGTAAGTTCTTGCGAGTGGAGTGATTTTCGAGGAAGATTTGGTCGAGCAAATTTAAGGGAAAGATAAACCCAGGTATGGATCAGATAGGAACAAGTTTTGCGATCTGCCTAATCTTCTTTCTTAAAATCGGATTTTATTCAGGAGAACTGCTCGATTTTTTGATTTTGGCCAATAGTTGAACTCCTAAANAAACCAATTAGAACTCCTTCTCACGAATCTTCTTAAAAATTTCTCGTGATTACCATTTCCTGTAACCTTATTTTAATTATTCTCCTAGGCTCATTATGACGTTTCCTTATTACGGGTTTACTGGTCGTATTGCTAAATAGGGAGACCTACGAAGCTGTACTAGTATTGATGAACGTACATGGTTGGGGAAATCACTACTTCCTCTCAAAGACGAGGTTTTGATTTGATAAAATTTATACTGGATTGAATAGGAGAATTTAATCTTGTATTGTGTTGTGCATGCCGTTTTATCGCTTCCAACTGATATGGGGATGTTCGACTGAAGGCAGCTTTTGCAGTGGATTCATTTCGATGCCAGTGTTGTGGTAGATTTTGAGTAGATGAAAAGTGGAGATATTGTAAAGGGTTTTTCTCCTGGTTAGAAAGTATGCCATGAATCGTATAGGCTACCTCGCGGATAGCAGGGAAGATGTGCAACATACCAATCAGTTTCCTATTGTGCTTGGCCTCATTTCTTTAACTATTCTTACTGTGTGACCAAGGCTGCTCTGGGAGCTCTACTCCACTTTAGTACCGAATGCGGTGCAGCTGTTCCTTACATGAGAGCTATTTACCCAGATTACTCCGGAGAAATGCCTATATACCTGATATATCATGTAAGTGATTATGCAGAGAAACATAAATTGGCACAACTACTCGGACAAATTTTTAGTTATTTTGACAAAAAATAACTGAAGTAAGCGGCGAAGAAGGGGTCGCCGACTCTAGCCGATACAACTGTTTCGCGTCTCCAAGTTTCTTATTATGTTCCGTCCCATTCTTCACTTACACTATATATTTTACTAAATCTCCCTGAGAGCTCTGCACTGTTATACATGTTCGATAAAAGCACCCAGCAATGTGGTAGGGTTTCAATCTTCGTGGATTGACTAGAGTGCCCTAAGAGTAGCTAGATTATTTATTCCTTGTAGAACCGTTTTGTTAGATGAGTTGTAGATTGGTGTTTCCTCCCTGAATGTTATTTTCCAAGTTAGTTCCGCAGCTTTCGTGTCTTCTGTTAATGTAGTGTGATCAGCTGGAAGAACATCAGTCGTCCCACCGCATTTCTAATTTGTAAATATCCTCGTTGATATAATGGGCAACTATTTTTTTAAATACTTTCTTTTTGTTGCAAAAGAGAAAAGGCCACGTAGTCTCGGCATGATTTGGGTAGTCTCACTATCCTGTAATTGCCACTTTTGCAATGCTCACATATAGAATGTTTGATTGTTTTTGAAAGTAATTGTGCTATGGCTCTCTTGCTTGGGGACATTCTTAGCTAAGGAAGTTCTGTCTTGATATTATATTAGTTGCAACATAGTTTTTACCTGAGCCTTGGAAGAGGAAGGGATGAATGAGGCGATTACTGGGGTGGGGTATGAAACGTCCAATTTGCTTACCCTACCCGAGGCTCCTTCCCTTCTATGTCGTTCGTGGAAAACTATTTTCTCGGCAAGCGAAGAAACGTTCCTAAGCACCATTATGAGCTCATGAAGTTGGCTATCCCCCTTCTCTGTGCTCTACCTGTCAATGTTGTAAAAATGGGGCGCCCCACTGCATAATGCTTTTCATCACAGTCGTGAAAAGGACATGCTTTGGGACTCGATTGATCGGTTAATGGAATCAAGGCTGGAAATTTGCGCCTCTATTTCTCAAGAAAGTATTCTTTCCAAGTTCTCTGTTCATTTGTAATGGAAGATTTCTTTTCCTCATTGTTCGAATCAGAGAATTGATGAACGTGGTTCAGCAAAGACTATCTTCTTCCGTTTTCCCAAGTTAACTCTTTCTGGCAGTTTCTTTCTCCAAAGTCAGTCGAGGCTCGTTTCGGAGCCGAAGCATTATAGTCAGCACCTCTCCAGTGCATCAATTTGCGCATCGTTTCAGTATATCTTGGCCATGTAGGCACTGAATAGAACCTTATCCGAAATGATAATTTCGTTCGTCTGCTCTTAATTTTGTTTGCTTGAGATTGATTACGGACCATCAGCACAGTGAAGCATTCTTACGAGTTCTTGGAAGAATCTCTATGCTCGTTACGGGTTCATAGTTTTCATGACTTGATTGTACCTGATTAGACTTTAATTCACTTTGTGGTTATGCTTTTTGCTCGATACGTTTTTGATTTTTCATTTCTTGCGCGTCATTTATGCTTAGTATAGAATGAATGTATTAGGTCGTGAAGAAAGTTCTTGCGGTTTTGCGCCTCAAACTTCAAATGCATATATCTCGGCTTGAACGAAACTTCATCAATCGAAATAACAACCATTACTATCGACACACTTTTGTTAACGAAAAACAAGTTCGAGTATCCCATTCGCATAGAAGTCCGGAAATCTAGAGGCGATGAAATCGTCGAATGTCGCGGCAGCATCATGTTGGGTTTTGAAGCATTTCTCCTTGAGGAAGCGTCGAGATGTTTAAAGAAATGGTAGTCTATGGGAGCAAGGTCTGGGGAATATGGTGGATGTGGGAGAGCTTCATAGCCTAGCTCCATCAATTTTCTCAGGGTAAGTTGTGCGACGTGAGGCCGAGCGTTGTCGTGGAGTAGAATTGGCCCCCTCCTATTCACCAGTGCCGGGCTCATGAGCTGGACTTTTCGATGCATTTCGTCAATTTCT